GGACCAAATCGGGGGTCCGTACAATAGTTCAGGGACCAAAATAGGGGTTTAACCTAAAAAGAAAAAAGTAGTTATAGTCACGTTTAAATCTACAAAAAATCAAACAATAAAACATAAGGTAGCTCAAAAAATAGATATACTAAAGAATAGTTAAAAAATATATAAAAGACCAATATTATCCTCATTAAAATTTTATTTTAGTTATCTTTATCTATAACTTTTAGTTTTGCCTCCCTTAAGAAAAAAACCTAGTGCTCGACCCATCCGTAGCAAGATTCTTAGCTATTGAGTCCAAGACAAAACTAAAGAATGCCACTTTTATTACATATATGTATACATTGGAATCATTTTCTTACACTCTTTTTTTCTCAATCCCTCTATACTACTACATCTACATAGACTATATGAACCCTAGCCCCTAGGTAGCTCAAAGCTTTGAACCCATTCAACCTGCAATAGCCCTAGATTCTCTCATTTCAAAAACAGGAAAAAATCCCTCTATGGCTCTATATATTCCTCTTTGTCACATCAATTCATCTTCTTTTCATTTCTTTTCATCCAAACAAAGAGTGAGTAAGAAAGATACAACAAAGTGGGATTTAAGGTCGTTCTTGGCCATGGTTTCGGTACAGGTGGCCTATGTGGGAATGAACATCACTTCCAAACTGGCTTTGGAATCTAGCATGCGACCTTTAGCCTTGTTGCATACTGCAATTGCTATCATGCCTTCTGTGTTTATTTTGAAGTGATAATAATTTCTTTTGCTTGCTTAAATTTTGTTTTGTTTTAAGGTAATAAGTGAATTTGGTTTGATTCTTTCTCAATTTGTATTGTATATGGATTTTATTTGATCTCTAGAAAAATGAGTTGTTTTCTTTTAGGTCTAAAATGTTGATTCGGTTAACATTAATTGGATATCTCATGCCTATAATCAATCATGTTTATGACTATAATCTTCAGATTTGATTAACAGCTCCTGGTCTTAAAACTTTTTGAGTATGCTTCTTCAAAAGAGCAAAGACAAATTCCATCCAGAGATTTAATTCTTAATCAATTAATAAGGAGGAATAGAGATGGAAAAAACTAGTTCCAATGAATGATGAGGGTTGGTCAAATTACACAAACTCTATGTTCTTTATTATGTGTAGTGCATTCTCTTTCTAAGTTTTGCATTCCATCTACTTTTAAGCTATACTGAGCAGTTTACAGTTATGAGATTTCCTTCTATATTGTGTAGATGGGACTGAGACAATAAGGAAGATCTCCAATTATGCAGAGGGGACAAATATTTGATACATAAGGACTTTGAAAAAACAACAAAAAACTCCAGTATGCACTGTGTAAAGAACTTTTGAATTTCATTTAATTTTATAAGTACGTATGTCTTTGGATGATTGTTAAATAGGTTAAACATAACAAACTCAAGATGATATCATCAAAATTGTGTGAAGTTTACCTGTACCTCTTTGTCACTCTTAGCTTCCAGTTTTTGGTAGGCCAACTATTTCACTTTGTAAGATCATTCTTAAGAGCATTCACTTGTTCTGCTCTTGTTAGAAGAGATTGCCATGAATAAAGCCTTTTCACCTTTGGAAGATATGTGCAGCATGGAGAAATGGATGGGAAGAGATTGGAATGACACGAGATCTAGAGGTATGTTTTCTTATCTAATGTAAAGTTTACTGAATTCTATTCAAAATACATGGAGATAGAGGAAGTAATCGAAAACATGAATATTCACTCTTTGCTCTACAACTGCTTGTTTTCAGATATAATTGTATTTTTCAAACTATATTTATAAGAAAAAATATTAAGGAATGTAATTTGACTCCCAAGTATATGATTGGTAAGGAGCTCAGAATTATAAACCATTTGTTATTTGTAATGAAACAAAATAAGATCATTTGAACTTTTTGAGTCTCCTTATGGACAAACATATATCTTTTCTAGGAAGAGATAAAACTACGGGGGTTGCTAATTGCTCATTTCCTGAGATATATGTACTCTACTCTAAAGGGTTAAACTCGTCAGCTCTTAAAAGTGTTTTTGTTCTATTTATTTACACCTTATGTCACAAACTCATTGTAGATATTGTCTCTTTGCTCCTTAATCATCTATTCCCTAGCGGCAATGAGACGAATGTATGCTCTTTTAATCCTGCATGTGGATGTAAATTCTTCCCTTAACATGCTTGTTAAGCAAAACTAATGTCTCTTGTAGGGTTCCAAAATTCCAGAGTCTCAGCCAATGGAGAGATAAGTACCAAATCTAAGTTACTTGCTTCGCCTGAGCAAGACATTCATTTTAAGAAATTTCATTGGATGCCATTAAGAAACTTGGAAAGAGTTGAATGTAGGCCAAAGCCCCTATTTGCACCCTCCATTTATTTCTTTTCCGCGGTCAACACCTTCCGGAATTTTTTCTCCCTATTCACACCTTCCACTTTTCAAAACCCGTAAAAAACCCCACATTTTAACGCACCGTCACGGTACCGTTACAAAATGTACTACGTGGCACTCAAAAATTGA